GGCTCAGAACAGAGAGAAAGAGAGACTCTATGTTTGGGAGAATGTAAGGGAAGAGAACAAGAGTCTCTGCCTGGTAATCCAGAGATACTATCAGATCTTGTCCAAGACCATCAAGGCAGCACCTCTACGAGTCCACAGGAACCAGCGCATTACTGACTTGGGGTGCCCCCTAAAGCATATGCAGCTTAGACCACAATACCCAAATCCTTTCCAATATCTGGAAAGTGTTCCCAAGAAGGACAGGTACAAATAAGCCCAGACAGTGAAGATGATATGGTTTGGCTGTGTCCCCACCCAAATAGCATCTTGAATTGGAGCTCCCAAATTTCCCACATGTTGTGGGAAGGACTCAGTGGGAGACAATTGAATCACGGGGGTGGTTTTCCCCATACTGTTCTTGTGAAAAAGTCTCATGAGATCTAATGTTTTTTTAAGGGGAAACCCCTTTCAGTTGGTTCTCATTCTCCCTTGTCTGCTGCCACGTAAGACATGCCTTTTGCTTTCTGTCACAATTGTGAGGCCTCCTCAGCCACATGGAACTGTGAGTTCATCAAACCTCTTTTTCTGTATCAATTAGCCAGTCTCAAGTATGTCTTTTTCAGTATCATGAAAACGGACTAATACAGAAGACTACAATAAATACCCAACTCCTACACAAACTATTCTAAACAGTGGAGGAGGCGAGTCAGTCGGGTGCGGTGGTTCATGCCTGTAACCCCAGCACTTTGGGAGGCCGAGGTGGGCAGATCATGAGGTCAGGAGATGAAGACCATCCTGGCTAACATGGTGAAACCCTGCCTCTACTAAAAAATACAAAAAAAATTAGCCAGGCATGGTGGAGGGCACCTGTAGTCTCCGCTACTTGGGAGGTTGAGGCAGGATAATGGCGTGAACCCAGGAGGCAGAGCTTGCAGTGAGCCGAGATCGCGCCATTGCATTCCAGCCTGGGCGACAGAGCAAGACTCCATCTAAAAAAAAAAAAAAAAAAAGAAAAAAGTAGAGGAGGAGAGAACACTCCTAAGCTCATTCTATGAGGTCAGTATTACCCTGATACCAAAACCAGACAAAGACACGCAAGAAAATAAAACTACAGGCCAAGAACATCCATTGAGGAAATAACAGTCTCTTCAATAAATAGTGCTGGGAAAACTGTATATCCATATGCAGAAGAATGAAATTAGACCCCTGTTCCTGGACATATACAAAAATCAAATCAAAATGGATTAAAGACTTAAATCTAAGACCTCAAACCATGAAACTACTAAAAGAAAACACTGGGGAAACTCTCCAGGACATTGGAGTGGGCAAAATTTCTTGAGTAATACCTCACAAGCAAGGCATCCAGAGCAAAAATGAACAAATGGGATCACATAAAATTAAAAAGCTCTGTACAGCAAGGAAAACAATCAACAAAGTGATGAGACAGCCCACAGAATGGGAGAAAATATTTGCAAGCTGCCCATCTGACAAGGCATTAATAACCTGAATATATAATGTGTTCAAACAACTCTGTAGGACAAAATTTAATCTGATTAAGAAATGGGCCAAAAATTTGAATACATATTTCTTAAAAGAAGACATACAAATGGCAGACAGATATATAAAAGGGTGCTCAACGTCACTGATCTTCAGAGAAATGCAAATCAAAACTACAATGAGATATTACCTTACTCTAGTTAAAATGACTGTTATCCAAAAGCTAGGCAATAACAAATGATGGCAAAGACACTTATACACTGTTGGTGGGAATGAAATTAGTACAAACATTGTGGAGAACAGTTTGGAGGTCCCTCAAACGACTAAAAATTGAGCTAGCATACGATCTAGCAATTCCACTGCTAGGTGTGTACCCAAAAGAAAGGTAATCAGTATATCAAAGAGGTATCTGCATTCCCATATATATTGCAGCAGTATTCACAATAGCCAAAATTTGGAATCAATCTAAATGTCCACCAACAGATGAATGGATAAACAAACTGTGGTACATATACAAAATGGAGTACTACTCAGCTATAAAAAAGAATGAGAACCTGTCATTTGCAACAACATGGATGGAACTGGAGATCATGACATTAAGTGAAATAAGCCAGTTACAGAAAGAAAAAACTTGGCAAGAAGTTCCCACTTATTTGTGGGAGCTAAAAATGAAAACCATTGAACTCATGGACACAGAGAGTAGAAGCATTGTTATCAGAGGCTGGGAAGGTAATGGGGAATTGGGGGCATGTGTGGATGGTTAGTGGGTATAAAACAAATAGAAAGAATGAGTAAGACCTAGTGTTTGCTAGTGCTAGAGGGTGACTACAGTCAAAAATAATTTAATTGTACATTTAAAAATAACTGAAAGAGTATAATTGGATTGTTTGAAACACAAAGGATAAATGCTTGAGGGGATGGATACCCCATTCTCCATGATGTGCTTATTATACACTGCATGCCTGTATCAAAGTATCTGATGTAGCCTGCAAATATGTACACATTATGTAACCACAAAAATTTAAACAAAGAATAAATCAGTTAATGTAAAGAATTTTAAAATAGTGTCTGACATGTCTATGGTCTATAAACTTGTGCTGCTCTATTACTATGAGGTATTATCAAGAGATAGTGTAATTAAAAGATTTTGCTCTGAATTAAGATACTTGATTGTATAAAATCATAACTGATTTGGATTGGAAGGAATAAAGCCATTGTGACTTTTTTTTTTCTGAGTATGTAATATGATGTAAAGATACCTCCATCCTGAAAATAATAGTTCTAAACACTTCGTAAAGATGAGCCAACATTTAATGAGCTCTCACCATAGGTCAAGTGCTGGGCCAGGCGCTTCTCAAAATATCTCACACAGTCTTCTCCATAGTCCTTTAAGACAGCATTGTTATCCCCATTTTATGTATGAAAAAGCTGAGATGGAAAGTTTAAGTAACTTTTTGAAAGCAATAAAGGTTGTTAATAGAACAAACAGGATATGAACTCAGGACATCAAAGCCCTGCTTTTTGTACATAATCTCAAATGGTTTGTTCGGACTTGGTGATACTTTTGGAAAGGTTTCCCCTCTTCCCTGCCCACCCACCCAATTCCTTCCACAATATCGTACAGAAAACCTCATGTTGGGATGTCTTTCTCATTTGCACTTGTCTGCATTTTTTGTAAAATGTTATTTTTGGCAAAATATTTGCCTGAAGATGAAGATCTATGCAACAATATTAATATAAGAGATAATCAGTTCTTTTTTTCTCATTTGGCTTACTCTTAATTATAATACAGAAAAACTTGACACAATAGTTTTGATTTCTGAAAGAAGTGTTATCTAAACCAACATTCTGTTCTATCTGTACATTAGTGAGGTAGTCAGTACATGTGATCAGCAGTAACTGTTACTTGGCATCAGGAGTTCAGGAAGGGATAAGAAGAGAGGCATGCTAAATGGTGTTATAGATTGAATTGTGTCCCCCAAAAGATGTGTTGAAGTCTTAACCTCCAGGACCTCAGAATGTGGTCTTGTTTGGAAATAGAGTCATTGCAGATGTAATCAAGTTAAGATGAGGCCACATTTGACCAACACAACTTAGTGTCCTTATAAGAAGATGGTCACGTGAAGGAAGACACAGGAAAATGTCATTTGAAGACAGAGGCAGAGATTGGAAGTATACTGCCACAAGCCAAGAATGTCTGGGGCTACCAGAAACTGGAAAAGGCAAGGAAAGAACCTTCCCCTACAGGTTTCACAGGGAAGATGGCCCTGCAGACACCTTGATTTCAGACCCCTAGCCTATAAAACTGTGAGATAAATTTTTCTTGTTTTAAGCCACCCAAAATGTGCGTACATTATTACAAATGGAGACAAGGATTTCTTAGTAATATCCCCATGAGGTCTTGGATGCTTTTCTGCTTCATATTCATATGTATCTATAATATTTTTAAAAAGCCCATGGCATTACAGGCATAGTAACCCATGCACAAAATATATTTAAGGACTTGAGAGCCTGGATCTGTATTCAAAAGCTTTTGTATGTGGATCCTAAGCACCTACCGGAGTGGGACCTTCCTCTCAGATCTCTTAGAGTCCCATCAGCTCCTGTGCTTGGGCATGTTCAAGCCCAGGAGAAACAGAAAAACAAATGAGTGAGTGGCCATGCGACGATGCCTGTCTAACTGATTCATTTGAACATAGAGAGAGAAGGTCATGTCTGGGGTGAAGCATTTTGCTCAAAAAGATAGCTTCTCCTGATGAAACTTGGCAGTTGTTCCTTTGTACATTCATTCTCCTTGAAAAACTGTGTTGTGACTCAGTGAGTCAGATTGCTGGAATATGCAAGTTAGGTTTGCATCCAGCTTTCATTCTCTCAACCAATACCTTTCGGCAATTGGTGGTGTCTATTATACCAACCTCTTTTTTGTTTCGATGGAAGCATTGTTGTCTTTTTTTTTTTTTTTTTTTTTTTTTTTTGAGACGGAGTCATGCTCTGTCGCCCAGGCTGGAGTGCAGTGGCCGGATCTCAGCTCACTGCAAGCTCCGCCTCCCGGGTTCACGCCATTCTCCTGCCTCAGCCTCCCAAGTAGCTGGGACTACAGGCGCCCGCCACTTCGCCCGGCTAGTTTTTTGTATTTTTTAGTAGAGACGGGGTTTCACCGTGTTAGCCAGGATGGTCTCGATCTCCTGACGTCGTGATCCGCCCGTCTCGGCCTCCCAAAGTGCTGGGATTACAGGCTTGAGCCACCGCGCCCGGCCGCATTGTTGTCTTAATGAGACAAAGCTCAGACTGGGTTGGGATTTATGTGGAAGGGTTTCTCAGAATGACCCTATCTTCAAGTGTTTTCCAGTTAGAGGTGGTTTTGGCCTAGTCTGGAGGACTAAGTGCTGTGCTGAGCACCTAGAGTGGTGCTGGAGAGGAGACATTATTAGATAGGGGAGAGATTTTGAAACATGATTTCTATTGAATAAGTGCTGGATAAAATAGTATCAAAGGAATTTATATTAATTATTTGTGCTGCTTACATAATCTTCTATGGCAGACTCATAATCAAATGTAGTGTCATAAAATGTCCTAGGGGCAATTGTTATAGCGTCATTAGTTTTGTTTAATGTACTGGCTGGAGTGCCATTTGGTGGAGCTGTGGTTTCAAGGAAGGTAATATGAAGTATGGAGAAGGCAGATGTGGCTGGGGGCAACAGATGAAGTTGTGCCATTGTGCCAGACACAGTGGTGATCATTGATACAATGGTAGCTGGTGTAATGGGAGGAGTATGGTGGAGGCTGCAGGTGTGGTATTGATGGCAGCAGGTATGGTAAAAGTAAAGAGAGCAGTTGAGGGAATAAAAGTTTGTTTGGTTTCAAGGGGAACAAAAGTGTGTGGTTTTTTTTTGTTTTTGTTTTTGTTTTTTTTTTTTAAGAGCCTTTCTCTGTCACCCAGGCTGGAATGGAGTGGTGCAAGTTCCGCCTCCCGGGTTCAAGTGATGCTCCTGCCTCAGCCTCCCAAGTAGCTGGAACTACATGTGCCTGCCACCAGACCCGGTTAATCTTTGTAGTTTTAGTAGAGACAGGGTTTCACCATGTTGGCCAGGCTGGTCTCGAACTCCTGACCTCAGGTGATCTGCCCGCGTTAGCCTCCCAAAGTGCTGGGATTACAGGTGTGAGCCACTGCACCCAGCCCAAAAGTGTTATTGATAGCATTTTTGATACTGATAGTAGTAGAATAAGTACCAGTGTATGATATGGTACTGACAACTGATGTAACTGCAACAGGGATTATATAAAGATACTTGAAATAGGTGTTGAAAATATGGTTGTTTTAGGTTGAAGATAATCAGTGGCTATAAAAAAAAGATGCATCATCAATTGCAGTGGTGGCAGAAGTGACCATTGCAGTATTAGATGGGGATGTTGAGTCAAATTGGGTGACTGCAAGTGCAGTGGTGGTAGTGGCAGATAGAGCTGAAGCAGAGGACTGGGTAGTAGGGGAAGGTGTTGTGATAGTTGTAAGGAGTGGGCTAGCGGTGGTCACTCTCAGTGTGGTAGAAGTTGAAGTAGTGACTTGTGTTGTCTTGACAGCAGCAGTGACCACAGGTGTTGTGGCCTTTTCCACAGATTTGGTTCCTAAGGAAGAGGGGATGGGAATGGATATAGAAGCAAAATACCCAGTGGAAGCAGGTGTGGAAGCTGATGGGTTTATAGCATCAAATGTCATATTTCCAAGTGTTTTCTTGGAGGCCATGGTGGTGTCAACAGGTGAGCTGGCAGGAATCTCATCTGTGGAAGGAACATCAGATAAGGTAGCTATAGCCTCAGATATGGACTTTGTGGAAGATTTAGTATTTGCAAATGTCACAATATTTGTGGCAGTGATTTCAGGCTTATGGATGGGAAATTTGGTGATAAATGAGGGTCAGTTTGGCTGCTGTGAAACTGGAAGATGTTGATGTCCAGTGGATTTAGGTTTACAAGAAAGAATTGGATTATGTTGTGGAAAGTGAGTTTTGTTTTTCTTAAATGGTTTTAAGTGAGGTTTGTATGATCCAGCTTTCTGTGGAAAACCTTTTGGTTTAACAGGATTCCTGTGTGAAAGACAGTTTAGGTGTGATTTTGGTTTGCCAAGTTTTTTTTTTGGACCAGTCTCTGCTTCTGATATTGTTGTTTTGTGTGCTAATTATTTTCATCTATAAGTTTTTGCTTGAGTTTTTGAGTGGGTAGGTTGTTTTATTTTAGTCATAGTTGTACTATATCTTCTTGATTAGTTTGCTGTGGAAGATAGATTTTTGTTTGTCTGGATCTTTTTCCCAGATTTGCACTAATATTAAGTTTTGATGGTTTGATGTATTCTGTGGTTTTGACTTGCTTCAAAGCTGACCATTTTGTTTGCCAGTTGAAAATGAGAGAGGTTTAGGTTGATGTGGGTTTTGTTGCTTGTTGATACTGGATTGAGACTGAGATTTCCTTGGTAGTATTCTAACAGCTTTGTGTGGATAATATTTGATAGTGTGAGATCTTTTGTTGGGAGGTTGAGTTACTGTGATTTGGTTGTTGATGGTCACTTTGTTGTGTTGGAGATTTTAGCCCAGGATTTGATTGGCCGTTTTTTATTTATTTATTTATTTTTATTTTTATTTTTTTTTAAGGTAAATTCTTTTTGTGTTAGGTTGTTCTTTTACATATTTATTTCCCTGTTGCCTAGATCTTTTTATCTGAGATCCTGATTCTTTTGGTCAAATTAACGAGTTTGGCTTAATTTTGATTTGAGAATTCCTTCAATTAATGGAAAGAGATTTGAATTGATCTAATTTAAGGTGAATATAAACACCTAAGAGTGTTTTAGATTTTTTGGTGAACTTTAGTGAAGATTTTCCTGGGTGAGGTTTAGCAGATCTGGAATTTGTTTTAAGAAGTAAGTTCACATGCATTTGGGGATGAAAGAAGACTACCTTGTTGGACGAGAAAATTTGACTAGGTGTCATCTCAGATCTCCTGGAAGCAATAGAATAATGAGTTTGAGAGACCATGGATCTTTGTTGACTAGATGGATTTGATTGAAGTCTAATCTGACCAGTTTTAGCTGAAGAAGGTACTTGCTGATGTGAAACTGGTCCTTGAGAAGAAAGATTTTGTAATAGTCTAGTTTTTGGCTTATTTCTCTTGTGTCCCACTTAACTGCAGAAACAAAAATGAAAACATTAAGTACATATAAGATGGCAAGTACTGCCTTCTTTCATTAGCATTATCATCCCTATGTGATAAGATATTTATATAATAATAAAGTTCTTAAACAAGAATGTTGACCACATTTAAAGACAACATATGTAATATTAAAAAGATGACTGGACTGAAAGCTATTTGGAGGTAGGGGTATAATCTGTCTGCTTCCATACTCAATTTTCAGAACCTATAGATACATATAATACCATACAATAAAAATTTATTGAATGAAGTTTAATAGCCGATATACTTATACTTGGCTTTATTCCAATCTTTGTAGTTTACTCTTTGGAAGTTCTTAAAATGCTTTAAATTAGTTATATATATTAATAAAATTTTCCTACTTCCCAACCTCCATCAGCTCTCCTTATCCCACCTGCCCTGGGCACACTGTTTATGTTTCCAAATGTTTAGCATTCCTCATGTTTTTCAAAATATATTTTGAGGGAATATGTCTTTTTTCTACAACGGTTGTGCTGTTAATTTTCCTTCTTCTAATTCCTTCTCTTTCCCTTCCTTTTTTCTCTAATTTGTTTTTGTTCTTCCTATTTTTCTGTCTCCCTCCATTTAAAAATTATATTTCATTTACATCCATTACATTCATATACATCCATTTCAATTGATGTATAATAGATGTGCATATTTTCAGGGCACATGTGATAATCTAATACATTAATATAATTTGTAAAGATCAATTTAGTGTAATTGGGATATCCATTACCTTAAATGTGTCTTGTCTTTATGCTAAAAACATTCAAATTATTTTCTTCTGTCTATTTTGAAACATACAATAGATTATTATAAACTACAGTCACCTTACTGATCTGTCAAACATTAGGTCTTACTTCTTCTTCTCCTTTCATTTTTGTTTTCTTACTTTATCATTTATACTGGTGCTTTGTCCTGGGAAGGGTGTTAGATGCTGGGGAACTCAAAGATGTACAAAACAGATATGATGCATGTGCTCATGGGGTTTAAGTCTAGCATTAATAATGAAAAATATTACTCTATATTCCTCCATTGGAGCATGAAATTCATATGACATTTTAAAGATGCTGAGAAATTCTGCAGCTAAATCAAAACAAAAAAATTAATATTTCTAGTTCTATTTCTAAACCTATTTGACTCCAGGAACTTTTAAAAATTAAGTTTTGATGTAATATAATATATAAATATAATAGTATATGGAACATGCATCAGAAAAATGAGAGGAAACAACATAACCCTATGTTGAATATTATTTTAAATTATATTTACTTCTTTCCATATATGTGTGCATCTCTAGGTCTTTCATGTTCGAGAAGACGTATATGGTAACTTCTTTTTATATATGCTAAGACTAAGAAATTAATAATAATAACCAATGCTGATAGTATCTTGGAGTTAAAAAATGATTTTCTGATTTATCAAAACAGAATTTCTGGTCATAGTTTTGTTGTGAAAATAAACTCTATTAACTTAAATATCACGTTAAAACTTTTCAAATAAGTGAAATTTAACTGTTAAATATTTAAATATATTAAATATAATTTTTAAATTCTGAATTATCAATTAGTATGTTGAATTAACAAAAATGCATTTCATTCATATAGTGCTTTTAAATTTTCACTTCTAAACAGTGTTATTTGATTGAAATAATACATATAAAATTACTGAAATTAAGATAATAAACCATTGTGCAATAGAGCCATGGTGATTATTGATGAAAAGTGTGAACATAATATACTTTAAGATAAATATTATATTATTATAAATGTACAAACCTATTAATGTGCACTTTTATTTAGAAATATGATGTTCAGTCTTACTAGATATGATGAACTAAATGATGTGGCCTCCATTACTACATAACCTCTCTACTTTCATTTTAGTCCCCTATAGTCTATTTCCAAACAGGAGACAGAGTGCTTTTAAAAACAAAAGTCAGGCACCAAATCCCCTCCTTAAACTTCCCAGTGGGTTCCCATTGACTTCTGAATGAGATCCAAACTTCTTGCCACCACTTAGAAGGTGCTACAGGAACCGGCTCCTACCTTATTCTCCCTCGCAATCATTCACTTCCAGATTCTGACCTGCTAAGCTTCTTCCCTACTTGGTGGACCTTTGTCTAGAATTCTCTGATCCAATATCATCACTTGGCTGTTATTTTTTCTCTTTTTATTCAGCTTAAATGATGTCTCTTTGAAAAGGCTTTTCGAAACACCCAATCTAAACTAACATTTTTAATCTCTATCATTTCATCCTATGTTATTTCATAGTTTATTTTTATCACTAAAACAATTTTTTTATTTTGTTTCCTGTGATTTGCCTCCCTTCTTCATGAAAGTAGGCTCAGTGAGAGCAGTAACTCTCTTTCTTTTCTGTGCTGTATTTCCAGTTCTTTGAACAGTGCCTGCCACATAATATGACTTTGATAAATGTATGTTGAATGCATGAATCAATTGTTTGCCTTGTATTAATGTCCCTTGAATATAACCTGGAATTGGTTTATTAATTCTTA